GGCATGGGTGCCTCAGCCCCTTTTGTCTTCTCTTTTCAGATATACCTGCCTGCAGAGAGGGTACATTCTGGTCTACTCTCTCAGCCATGCAATAAAATTAGCAGGGCAGGCTCTGCTTTTGTGGGGGGAGGCCTGTGGTTGTCCAGAGCAACCTGTGATTAGGCAGGTAAGTTTGATTTTGGGGGTGCAGTATTAGGAAGCCCATTTTGCTCTTTGCTTTAGTCATGTTAAATGCCTTATTGAAAATAAAGATGATACTTTAATTTCCTGTTGTCAGCTCCCCTGGGTTTTTTTGTGTTTTGTTTTTTTTTTTTCATCTAGTTCTGAACTTGCTCAGGGAATAGTGATGTGTAATGTACTGATGGGATAATATCCCAATATTAGTGGTGTAAATATGAAGCAATATTTACTTTGAGAAGATGAAGGACGGGCATTTGGGTTCATGTTAGAAAGCTGAATTCTTATCTATCATAAAGGGCATGAGTTGATGGAAGTCTAGAAAAGATCAAGAAATAAAGTAAGTCATGGAGATAAAAAGTACAGCATTGGGAATATAATCAATAATATTGTAATAACTTTGCATGATGACAGATGGTAACTACACTTATCTTGGTGATTTGTAATATATATAATTGTCTAATCACTATGTTGTACACCTGAAACTAATATTTTATGAATATATATACTTCAATTAAAAAAAAAAAGCCTGGAAACTACCTGCCCACCCCCCGCCAAAAAAAAAAAGAGAGAAAGAAAGAAATAGTATACTAATTTAAAATAGGGAGGGAATTATTAGAAAAAAATGAAGTTGCTTCCAGACTGCTGGACTGGCAGAGTAGATAGAAATGGGTCGTGGAGTTGTTTCATCATAAACATTTTAAGCACTATTTGACTTTTAGCCGTGCGCAGTGTATTTTGTTTAAAAAAATTAAATGAAAAAACGAAGGTAAACTGGTACCTTGTTCTTCGGAAGTCAGTTTAGAAGTGTTCTATCAGCTCGGTTGAGAATAGTACAGCATTGACATTTAGAGACTTTTGTTGTCATTCATAGGCTAAGTGATTCTATGGTGGGAAAAATTTATGACAGTGGTGATTCAGTTTATTGGAATGCTTGATTACTTAAAAATCTTCATGTGTTACCAAAGTTACGAGATTTTTCTCTGAGCCAATTGCTATATCAGAAAGTGCTTGATTGCCTGGTTTGAAAAATCATAACCAATAAAACATGCCTTTTCCCTTTCCCAAAATGTAAGAAAGAGATGGCAAAAAGATATCCTGACTATGAAAATGACTCTGCTTTGGAAATTGGGCATGCTTTGATGGCTGTAAAAGCTATCAGGTGTTCACGTCAGATTTGGTGCTTGGTTTAATATCTTTGGTCATTTCTAGGAATGAAACATCCATGTTTAATGAGTTGACTCTGTGTTCACTCTTGGATAAATATTCCAATTGCATTTGAAGAGTGTTTGATAATTATATTTTCAGATCTTTCACATTCTTATGTGTTGTTCTTAATGTGTTCAAGATTTAGAGAAAGGAATGTAAAAGTCTCCTAGTAGCTTTCTGTTTTCATTCCCCCCTTGTATAACATTTTTTGCACTAAGAATGCTGAACCTATGTTTGTGGCAGAGTTTGTCGACTAATTACATTTTAGTTGTGAGTTATATCTTTTATTGGTTCAAAATGTCCCTTTGGTATATCTTCATGGTTTTGTCTTAAATTTTACCTTAATTGATATTGTTACCATATTTTCTTTATATTTAAGTTTGCCTAATAGAAGTTTTGTCCAACTCTTTTCAGAGTCGTTTTGTTTTAAGCATGAGCATAAATAAGCATATTTATGAATAGCATATGATTACATATTATTTCATGGCCCAATCTGAGTTTTTTCTTCTTTTGGAAAAAAAGTTTTTTAAAAAGATTATGGGAAAGGGAGTCTGGGTGGCTTAGATGGTTAAACGTCTGCCTTCCACTCAGGTCATGATCTCCAGGTCCTGGGATTGAGCCCGGTGTCCTGTTGAGCTCCCAGCTCAGCAGGGAGTCTCCTTGTCCCTCTCCCTCTGCCTCTCCCCCTTGTGCTCTCTCTCTCTCAAATGAATAAATAAAATCTTTAAAAAAAATAAAAAGATTATGGGAAGGTCACATTTTCATTGTTAAAAAATTCAAAAATATTGTGGAGAACAAAAAATAAAGGTCCCCTGCCGATACCCGACTAATTTCCCCTCTTTTGAAACTCATTTTCTAGGGGTAACTACTGTTAACACTATGTTTTATATCTGTCCAGTTCTCTTTCTGGGCATTTACAAGTGGATATACTCCCCACCACCCCATTAGACTTTGGGATGAGACTTTAAATAATGTTCTGAAATGTTTTTACTCAATAGCACAGTGCAGAGATCCTTCATGTCATTATATGGAAATTTACTTCATTCCATTATAGATACACTCTTAACCACATTGCAGAAGTTTATATTGTCTGTAGTTGGTTGGTTGGTTGACTTTACCAGCACTGAACACTCTTCTACATTTAATCTCATCCACTTTTAAAAAATAATATTTTATTTATTTATTTGAGAGGGAGAGAAAGAGCATGAGTTGGGGGAAGGGCCAGAGGGAGAAGTAGACCCCCCACTGAGCAAGGAGCCTGACGTGGGGCTTGATCCCAGGACTTTGGGATCATGACCTGAGCTGAAGGCAGATGCTTAACCAACTGAAGCCACCCAGGCACCCCTAATCTCAGGATAGATTTCCTGGAATAGATTTTTAAATTAAGGGATATATACATGTAAAATTTGATAGAAACTGTCAATTTACTTTTCAACAAGATGGTAATTTATCTTTTTGTGTTTTATTTTAAAATTTTGTCTTTTTGTGTTGTATTACTATGTCAACAACATTCATGTACAAGGGTAGCAAATGCTTGGTATATGTACCTATACTTACATACTGATGGAATGAAACACCAAACATTTGCTATAGCGGTAAAATAGGATAGGTTGGATCCTGTCCTTTCTGGTCTCTACCAAAGGCTGGACTCTGGAGACTTTGAGCAGGCTGACAGTACACACACACACACACACACACACACAGTTTTTTATTTAAAGTCAATTTACTTAACATATAGTGTAATATTAGTTTCAAGCTTTTTATGTATTTATTCAACATTTATTTAGGGGAGGAGCTAAACATTAAGTGGGAAAAGAAATGGAAAAAGAGAACTCTTCAGCTCTTTTTTTATTATCCTGGGTAGTTCAGCTATGGCTCCAAAGTCATATCCTCCTGAAATCAGTAAGCAAGAAGTCCTAAAGTTAACTTCATCTACCCTCCTTCACTTGTGGTTGGTGGTGGTGGTGGAGGCTGGATAGTGTTGGAGGAGGATGGTCTTACTTTACCCCACTGAAGCAGTTTATCAGGGTATTCCTTCCAGTTTGGTCCTACCCATTCCACAAAGTAAACAGTGCCAGTCAGAACACCCTTTTCTACTAAGAACTAGGAAATTCTGTTCCCTAAAGTGAGTCTGCCAGATATTAACACATTTCATCTTATTACTTATTTCTTATTTAATGCTTCAGTCATCCACTGTAAGTTATTGAAACAAAAGTCTCATTTTAGCTGAAGAGAAAAGCTATTGGTAAATATCTCCTCTAAGCTCATACATATATGAAAAAAGTGTTTTGGAAATTTTTATTCAGAGAAATGGGTGGGTGGAGGACAGGTGAGGAGTGACTTACTACTTCTGTACTTTAAAAATTTCTAATCAGGGCGCCTGGGTGGCTCAGGTGGTTAAGCGACTGCCTTCGGCTCAGGTCATGATCCTGGAGTCCCGGGATCGAGTCCTGCATCGGGCTTCCTGCTCAGCAGGGAGTCTGCTTCTCCCTCTGACTCTCCCCCCTCTCATGTGCTCTCTCTCTCTCACTCTCTCAAATAAATAAATAAAATCTTTTAAAAAAAATTTCTAATCATATGAATATATTTCTTATTTAAAAATTACCTGAAAGTTATTGGCGAATTTGGGGATCCTCTGATTTTGCAATAATGTTGAAACCTATGTATTTTTAGAATAATAAAAAGGTATCTATTGATATTGCATTATTCTCTAATTATTCTTTATTTCATTAGAGCATTTAAACATGATTTTGTGTAGTTGGTTGCTTAATAAAATTTTAAAATAGCATTCCATAACCTTTAGGAAAAGTTACTCTTTTTTTCTAACTTATCCCCTAAGGAACAGTTTTTCATAAGTTTTTTTTTGGAAAACTGGAAAATTTCTAATAAGTTTTTAGCTGATTCCTTAGGTCTGTAATATTTTCCTCATGTAATGATACATTTTATATCTCTTTCAATATTTAGGACTCATTTGTGTTTCATATCTCAGAATTTCTAGAACTACATAAGATAATGACTTATTTTCAATAGTGCTTTTAATAGAAATGCCTCTATTAATTCATCATTAATCATGATACTAGAAGATAGATTTTATCTTATCAACAAAGTAAACTTTTATTCTTATTTTGGAAGAATTTTAAAAATTAAATTGAGTTTTAAATTTTATGGAATACTGTTTTGATATCTTGTAATAATGACAATTTATGTGAGGTATTATGGTAATAGATTTCCTATCATTGACCTTTCTTATAATAGTGATATCAACTCTATCTGGTTACTTTTGATTTGAAAAAGTCTGTAAATATTTTACTTAGGGTTTTCACATCTGTATTTGGAAAGATAGATTATAATTTTATCATTGTTTTTGGCTTTTGTGTCATCCTTGTCTTTTTTGATAGTTCTATGTTAATTTCACTTTTTTTCCTACATTTTCAACGCCATCCCAATCAAAATATCAATGGCATTTTTCATTTTCATATATATAATATGTTAGTAATTCCTTGAAAGTTCAAAGGAATTCAGCATGAAATAATCTGTGCCTAGCTCTTTTCTTCTGGGCATTTGATTAATGTGTTCAATTTTTCCTTACTCATTACTTCATTTTCTTTTTTCAGATTTGTAGAAACTTCCAATGTGTAAATGCTTCTGTTCTGAATTATGACTGTGATATTCAGAAAAAGTGTCATGGACATGGGGTAGGTAATATTCTCTTTGGGTTTGTTCATGAAAGTAGAATTCCCAATGAGGGAATGAGGGTTAGGTGAGACTCCCAGATTTTTAGATACGGGGGAATTTAGATATCTGACAAATTTTTCATTCTTTAAAAGAGTTACTGTGGATTTGCATGAATTTAGTCCTTTTTCTTGGTTTCTGTTCTTGAGTTTATGATGCAGAGCATTATTCACAATTAACCAAGGTGGTTTTCTGATTGTTTTGAAGGTATGTAATAGCAATAAGAATTGTCACTGTGAAAATGGCTGGGCTCCCCCAAATTGTGAGACTAAAGGCTATGGAGGAAGTGTGGACAGTGGACCTACATACAATGGCAAGTAATATAGAAGAAAATTAGTTGATCACCCAGTGGCCTGTGTCAGAAATTGGGCATCCTTGTACTTCTCCCTCACTTCCCACATTGGTTATACACTAAATACGTTGATTCTGCCTCCTAAATTTCCCATGAAATTTCTCATGAAGTTTCTATTTTTTTAATCCCTATTAATTACCTTCAATTTCTTGCCCGAATTTACATAAAAGCCTCTTGACTAGGCTCCCTCTTTCTCATCTTGCTTCCTATAATCCATGTTCCATACTATAATACAGAATTTTAGTGTTTCTCTTCAGGAATTGTTTTAATTATGTCATTGTCTTGCTTCTACATTGCTATTAGGATGAGGTCCAGAAATCCTTAACGTGGTTTAAATACCCTCTATGATTTACCCCTAGCTTAATTTTCCAGCCTCTTTTCACTATGCTTAAGACATTGTAACTTCTTGGGGTGCCTGTGTGGCTCAGTTGGTTGGGGGTCTGGCTCTTGATTTTGGCTCAAATCATGATCTCAGGGTTGTGGGATTGAGCCCCGAACCCGGTTCTGGGCTCAGCAGGGAGTCTGCTTAAGATTCTTTCTCTCCCTCTCCCTCTGCCCTTTCTCCTGTATGTGCACATGGGTGCGTGCTCACTCTCAATTAAATAAATCTTAAAATAAAAAAAGACATTGTAACTTCTTTTATTTCCTCTAATAGGCTACTACTCTCTTACTTCGGGTCTTCATACAGTATTATATTCACATTGTGGAAATTTGGCTAATGGCTACTCAGATTTCAGTTTATACCTTATTTTCTCGAAAGTTTTCCCTGACTGCCTAAATCTGAATTAATGTGCGTGCCCCTTCTATTTGTTCTCCTTTTATTGTAAGCACTATCACATACTATAGTAATTACTTATTTCCTTTTTTTTGTTCCCTAATAGACTATGAATGAGCTCCTTGTTCGCCAGTATCTTCCTAGTGAGAATATATGCTTGCTTTCTCTTGGGTAAATACTAAGAATGGTTGACTCATAGAGTATGTTTATGTTTCACATTTTAAGAAACTACCAAACTGTTTCCAAAGTGGTTGTACCACTTTATATTCTCTCCAGCTGTATATGAGGGTTCTAATTTTTCCACATCCTCCCCAACACTTGGTATGGTCAGTCTTTTTAATTTTAGCCATTCTAGCAGATGAATGGTATTTCTCTAATTCCTAATGATGTTGAGCATTTTTTGTGTGCTTATTTGCCATCCACATATCTTAGGTTATGTGTCTGTTCAAATCATTTTGTCCAGTTTTTAGATAGGTTGTCTTCTTGAGTTCTTTCTTCTGGATACAAGTTCTTTATGACATATGTGCTTTGTAAATATTTTCTCCCAGTCTGCTTACTTTGAGTTTCATGTGTTGTTCCTTTTCTAGTTCCTGAAGGTAGAAGATGAGGTCATTGATTTGAAAACTTTTTTCTAATATAGGTGTTGTAGTGCTATCAGTTTTCCTCTAAAACTGCTTTTTTTGTTTTTTTTTTTTGCATTATACCAATTTTGATATGTTGTGTTTTTGTTTTAATTCAGCTCAAAATAACTTCTAAAATATTTTTATTTTTTTCTTTGACTCATGAGTTATTTAAAAATGCTTTGCTTTGTTTTGAAATATCTGAGGGATTTTCCAGATATCTTAGTCTATGTTATTGATTACCCATTTATTAACACTGTAGTCAGGGGACATAATTTATATGACTTGAATACTTTTATATTTTCTGAAACTTGTATTATGGCCCAGATTATGGTTTATCTCATTAAAAAGTTCTGTGTACACTTGAAAAGAATGCGTATCTGCTATAATTGGTTAGTGTTTTATAAATAATTAGTTCATGTTAGTTGACAGATGTTTGTTTTAGGTCTTCTTACTGATTTCTGTATGCTTGTTCTGTCAGTTATTGAGAGAGGAATATTGAAATCTCTGGTGTTATTCTAACTGCTGATTTGCCTGTTTGTCCTTGTAGTTCTGTCAGGTTTTGTTATATATTGTGAAGCTCTGTTCTGTTCTGTTGATAAATTGACCCCTTTATCATTATGAAGTAGCTGTCTTTATACCTGGTAATATTCTGTGCTGTGCAATTAGGAATTAATATAGCTACTCCAGATTTCTTTTGATTAGTCAGCATGGGAAATCCTTTCTCATTCTTCCACTTTTAATCTGTTTCTGTCTTTATATTTATTTATTTATATTTTTTATTTTATTTTTTTAGAATGAGAGAGAGCAAGAAGGTGTGTGTGAGCAGGGGCAAGGCGGGAGGGGCAGAGAGAGAGGGAGAGAAAGAATCCTAAGCAGGCTCCACACACAGTGCAGAGGCTTGTGAGTCTTCATTTTAAAGTGGATTTCTGGTAGGCAGGATATAATTTGGTCTTGCTTGTTTTGTTTTTTTTTTTTAGGTAGGCTCCACTCCCCGCATGGGGCTTGAACTCACAACCCTGGGATCAAGTTACATACAAGAGTATGTTGCATACTCTACAGACTGAGCCAGACTCTTGGTTTTGCTCTTTCAGTCAGTCTGCCAATCTTTGCATTTTAATTGACTTGTTTTGATACGTTTAATTTGATTATTGATGTTTAGGTTTAAATCAGTCATATTGATATTTTTCTATCACAATCTCTCTTCATGTGATATTTTACCACTTCACTCTGCTTCTTCCATTTCTCTCCTCCTGGCTTTTGTGCTATTGTTGTCATACTTCTACATATGTTATGAACCCTACCATACATTGTTATTATTTCTGCTTTAAACAGTTGGTTATCTTTTAAATTAATTAATTAATTAATTAATTTATTTATGGTGGAGGATACGGGCAATTTATTTTTTAAAGATTTTATTTATTTGACAGAGAGAGAGAGAGAGCACATGCAGGGGGGGCTGCAGGCAGAGGGAGAGGGAGAAGCCGAGTCTCCACTGAGCAGGGAGCCTGATGCAGGGCTCAATCTCAGGACCCTGGGATCATGACCTGAACTGAAGGAAGATGCCTAACCGACTGAGCCACCCAGGCACCCTCCCCTTTTTTTTTTAAAGATTTTATTTATTTTTTGACAGAGAGAGAGAGAGACAGCAAGAGAAGGAACACAAGCAGGGGGAGTGGGAGAGGGAAAAGCAGGCATCCCCCTGAGCAGGGAGCCTGATGCGGGGCTCGATCCCAGGACCCTGGGATCATTGACCTGAGCCGAAGGCAGCCGCTTAATGACTGAGCCACCCAGGTGCCCTGCAGGCACCCCTTTTAAATTGATTTAAATGATAGAAAAGGTCTTTATATTTACCCACATAGTTACCATTTCTGATGCTCTTAATATTTGTGTATAAAATTATATTTCCATCTGGTATCACTGAATTTTTACTTGAAGGACTTATTTTCACATTTCTTATAATGTAGGTCTGCCAGTTACTAATACTTTTAGGTTTTGTATATCTTTTTTTTTAAGATTTTATTTATTTATTTATTTGAAAGAGAGAGAGAAGAGAATGAGCCGGTGGGGGGGGCGGGGGAGGCGGGGAGCAGAAGAAGGAAAGGGACAAGCAGACTCCGTGCTGAGCACAGAGCCCAACATGGGGCTCCATCTCATGACCCTGAGATCATGACCTGAGCTGAAATCGAGAGTCGGACCCTCAACTGACTGAGTCACCCAGGTGCCCCTAGTTTTTCTATGTCTTAAAAAGTTTTTATTTTGTTTCTTCTTGAAAGATAACTGGGTAAAGAATTTAAGGGTGACAGTCTTTGTCTTCCCCTACCCCCCACATTTACTTTTTCAAAGATGTTTCTCCATTGTCTTCTGGCTGGCATTACTTTTCCTGAGAAATGGGCCATCATCTTTTCTTTTTTGGTCTTTTTTTTTTTTTCAAGTGTTTTTTTTACTCTGGTTGCTTGTAAGATTTTCTCTTTATCTCTGGTTTTTAGTATTTGATTATAATGTGCCTTGGTGTGCTTGGGATTTGTTGGCCTTTTTTAATTTGTACTTTTATAGTTTCCTTCAAATTTGGGACGATTGTGGTCATTATTTCTTCAAATATTTTTTCTGTCTTCTTCTCCTTCAGGACTCCAATTGCATGTATATTTGGCTACCTGGAGTTTTTTCACATCTCCCTGATTTGCTTTTTTTTTTTTAATTCTTTATTTTCTATATTAAATTTTGAATAGTTTCTATTGTTATTCTTCAAGTTCACTCTTATTCTGTGATGTCTGATCTGCCATTAATTCCATCCAGTGTGTTTTTTATCATAGACATTGTAGGTTTTGTTTCTGTAAGTTCTGTTTTTCTTTTTCTTTTTTTTTTTATAACTTTGATGTCTCTACGTAGCATGTTTGATCTTTACTCTAGCTTTTTGAACATGTGTAATACAGTTAGAATAACTTCTAGTGTCTTTTTCTACTAATTCTATCATCTGTATCATTTCTTAGTTTTGACTGATTGATTTTTCTCTTCATTTTGGGTCGTATGTTTCTTCTTTGCATGTCCTGTAATTTCTTACCCCCCATTGGATGCCAGAAACTATGAATTTTGCCTTTTTGTATAGTAGATATTCTGGGATTTCTATTGATGAGCTTTATTCTCATGTGCTTTTGTTACTTGGACATAGTTTGATCCTTTTCGGTCTTGCTTTTAAGCTCTATTAGGCAGGACCTGAACATTTAGTCTAGTGCTGATTTTGCCCCATTACCGAGGCAAAAAGCTTTCTGTTTATTCTACTCAGTGCCATACTGATTATGAAGTTTTCTGCTGTCAATGGTAGGAATAGGCACTCTTCCGCATCCGGTGTGATCTGTGGGGTTTGCTCCCACTAATCCTTTCAGAGGATTCTTTCTCTGGCTTCCGATGGTTTCTTTACATGCGTACATAGCTCAGTACATAGCTGAATATTTGAGAGGAACCCTCTGCAGATCTTTTAAGTTATGTCTGTGTAGCTCTCCCTTCTAATACTTTGGTCAGTGGACTCTAGTTGACTTGGCTTCCTCAGACAACCAGCTCCATCTCCTCAATTCAAGGAGACCACTGAGCTTTGCTTGGGTTCCCTCACCTCTCATTATGATCTGTTAACTTTCCCTAGGCAGCAAACTGGGACAAGTGTAAGGCTTGCCTTACTTGTCTTCTGTCTCTCAGGGATCGCTTTTCTTTATCTGATGCCCAATATCTTGAACACTGTTGCTTAATGTATTTTGCCTGGTTTTCTGGTTGTTATAGCTCCCAGGATAAATCTGGTCCCTGTTACTCCATCTTGGCTAGAAGTCGAAGTTGAAACTACAGATTTTGATGACCATGTATCATTTCATTGAGTGGATGTGCCATAAGTTGCCTTAGCTGTTTTCTAATTATTTGACATTTAGGTTGTTTCTAAGTTTTTGATATGCCATCAGTAACTTTGTACTGTACATCTTAGTAGTTATGTACTTTTTCCAGTTGAAGGATAAATTGCCAGTAATGAGATTATTAGGTTGAAGGTATAATCCTTTTAATGGTCCTTGACCAAAATTCCAAATGAATTTGTGTTAATGTTACTGACAGTATGAAGGTATCAGTTTCAACATAACCTTGCCAAGTTTGCATGCTTTAATTTAAATTCTGTCTACTCATTAGTAAGTATAAAATGAGAGATCAAGCTGACTTTAATTCTTCCTATTATTTTTCATTGGGTTGAATGTTATTTCGTGTAGTTTCATACAAGTTTCAACAGAAATTTCTGGTAGTTTTATAAACTTAAAATTATATGGACAACTTTATAGCTTATCACTGCTGTTTATACTTACTATATCCTTTCTTTTTCTAAAGAACATGGACTAGATCAAATTAAAGTGAATTAATAAATTTTAAAATTTATAATAAGTCTTAAAACCCAGAAGCCATAAAAAATAAGATTAATAAATTCAACTACCTAAAAATAATAATAAACTTATGCATGAAGAAAAGCATTGTACTCTAAGACAAATGACAAAATAGGGGAAAATACTTCCAACTCATATCACAAACAAAACTAATTTCCTAATATATAAAGAGCTTTTAGAAACTGAGAAGAAAGGAAACAATAGTCCAATAGCAAATAGACTGAGCAGAAAAAAGAAATACAATATTTCCTTACACATGGACAGTTGCTCACCTCATAGTATAAAGAAGAATATAAATTAAAATTATATGAAATAGAATTTTTCATCTGTTAGGTTGGCAAAATGCAGAAGTTTGACTCTATGGGTGAGGCTGTGAGGAATTCTTGTATATTGCTGGCTGGCATGCTAAATTGTAACCACCACTGTGGTGGATAATTTGACACTACTTTAAAAAATGATGAATGCATTTACTCTCTGATATAACAGTTCTACTTCTGCAAAATTATTCTGTACATATACCTGCACCAGTATGATATCCCATAGGTGCAAAGTTCTTTATTATCACATTGTTTTATAATAACAAAAGATTGGAAAAATAAAAGTATCGGTAGGGTATTGGTTAAATAAACTATAGGACGTTCTTGTAATGGAGTTTTGTATACTTGTATAGAAAATGAGGTGGTCCTCTATGTATGGTTTAGGAAGATGTATAGATAAGTGAAAAAAAATGATGTGCTAAATAGTGCTTATGATATGCTAACTTGTGTATAAGAAAAGGTTGGCAATAAAAGTGTACTTTATTTTTTGTTTTTATTTGCATGAAGAAATAAGATTGTATAAGAAACTGATGAAAGTGGTTGTCTAATGGGAAGGCAAAAATGAGATAGGCAGGGCTGAAGTATGAGCAAGACTTCTCAACGTATTCAATTTCTGTCAGTTTGACTTTTGAACAATGTGAAAATTAACGTAAAACATTTATAATCACCTACTATGTTTTAGTTAATATGCATTAACTTCTAATTTAATGATCATTAATATAAATTTTTTTCTCTAGAAAAGAATACTGCATTGAGAGATGGACTTCTGGTATTCTTTTTTGCAATTGTTCCCCTTATTGTACTTGCTGCTTTTGTCTTCATCAAGAGAGATCAACTGTGGAAAAGCTACTTCCGAAAGAAGAGATCACAAACATATGAGTACTTAGATTTTTTTCTTTTAAATTCATATTAAATAATTTAAAGTAATTATTAATGATGATAGTCATATCATAGGGGTTGGTTTAAAAATAGGGTTCTAAGAGTTAGCTGGGATCAAAGGATAGTGATGACTCAGCCACCTCTAATAATGGTGAGGGAAAGGAGTATAAGCTACTGAAAATAGCCCTAAGGTTCATCTTGTTTGACATTGATTTCTGGTACTGGGGTAAATATAATTTTGGGCTACAATTTTTTAATTGCGCTTCTTAGTTCGAGATTAAAATATGAGGTAAAGGTAAAAAACGAAAATGTCAAAAAATTGTCTTCCATGTCTGTTTGAAGTATCAGTTTCAAAGAATGTTTCAAATACTGAAAGCATATTTTGTGAATTACAAGTTTTTAAGAAATAAGTTTTGGTGGAAGGAAGGGCTGTCAAAATTCAGACACTTGACATTTCTGGTCTATGTGTTGGACTCTTGTACGACTGTCTCTCAACTATCACTTCTAAAATGTTGGCATTAGAATACAACATATATTAGCATAGCCTTGTAATCAGATCCTAAGTTTAAGTTTCAGTTTGCCATTTGCTAGAATTATGAACTGGAATAATAAATAGAACTCTTTGAGCTTTGGTTTACTTCCTCTGAAATAGGAATAATATTACCTGTCTCTTAGGGTTGATGTGAGGATTAAATGGGAACATATTAACAAATAAAATCCATAGCACATTGCTGGCACAATGTAATTACTTAAAAACTCATTTTTATTATGATAAAAAACTAGTTTATTATGATAGTGATTTCTTACTTAGTATATAATATTTTGCTAGGGTATCCTGATGTTAGCTTTACTTTTTAACATATTCTAAAACAGATTTATCTTCCTATTCTTTCTTTCTCTTACTTCCTATCATACTCGAACCAACCAATCCATAGATAATTCTCCAGTCTGCCTCTCTGAAATTTTAGTTCCATACCCATAGTTCTCTCCTATACATCTTTACTGAGCTGACATGCTGTCACCTCAGCATGTCTAAAATTTAGTTGCCATCTTTCCATCCAGCTTCTTTGCTCCTCTTGGGCTTCCTAATTTTTAGAATGACTACTTCATGTTTTGTGTATTCAGCCTTAGAATATTTATTTACTCTTTGATTTGAGGAAGACCTGAGGAGAAGAGTTTGGAAACAAACACTGGCCTAATTGGCCAAATTTTATGGTTCCTTAGAATTCCAGGTTATTTAATTGTAAAATGGGGTTAATGAAACTTTCTAGTACTGTAAAGATGAAAAATGTGTGAAAGCTGTTAAAAATGTCATAAAGATTTTAGCTGTTATTGTGACCATCATTACCACCACTATGAACATCATTATTTTATATCTCAGAAAATGCAATGCATGTGTAACATGTCATGTAGCAACGATCTAATCTTACCTTAGCTCAAAAGTAATCGTCTCTTTCAGATCAGATGGCAAAAACCAAGCGAAAGCTTCTAGACAGCCAGTGAGCGTTCCTCGACATGCTTCTTCAGTGACTCCTCCCAGAGAAGTTGTAAGTTTAAAACAAAAAATTTTTTATTTTATTATGGTATCACATTGCTAAAAATTTCAAAAATAATTGTTACATGGATATAGAAATAAGCATAGATGATTTCTTAAGAATTTGAGTGTGGTCTCTGGATTAATGAAAACAATACCAGTAGGGTCCCTGGCTTGGAAGAGTTGGGAGAAAATATCTAGACATTAAGAATGCTTTGCCCTGAAACCAAGATTGGGAAATGACATGGGATCTCTGCTGTCACTACTTTTTTCTATGTCTGCTCTCTTTCTGTTTTCAATGCCTGGCATCCCTAGGGTGTGCAGCCAAAGACCTGGCGCTGAGCTCCTGGAATAGGCCTAATTGTCTCAGCAATGGGACCAGTAATCACTGTTCCTTTGAGTGTATTAGGGAGTACTGGGATAATAATATCCTTTTTTTCTTTTTCTGTATGCATGTATCCCTAGGAAATAATAATATTACTTTAGATGTTTTTAAACTTTATATATGTTTTGTTTGCTATTTCATGCATCTATCTGCAAACTGCTTTTTCCTTTAACATTGTTTTGTGCTTTAGCCCTCTTAATACCTGTAGCCCTCATTCATTTGTTTTCACTTTTGATGTTATGTTACTTAAATACCATGCAATTTTAAAATCCATTTTTCTATTAGCAGATTCCAATTTTTTGTAACTATGAGTAAGGCTGAGATGAACAGTTTATATATATCTTCTCAGGTACATGTGTGAGTTCTAGGACTGCATCGTTTAATACAGTAGTTACTATCACATGTGGCTATTTAAATTGCATTTTAAATTAAATGAAATTAAGAATTCCATTCCTTATTCACATTTTAAATGCCCAGTGGATCACATGTGGCCACTGACTACCGTATTGAAAAGCATAGATACAGAATATTTCCATCAATGCAGAAAATTTTATTAGAGAGCACTGATCTAGGGCCAGGTAGGAATTAAAATGCTGGGCTGAAAGATATGTAACTATTTACTGGAAATTGCCAAATTCATTTCCAAAGAGGTTACACCATTGGGTGATTGTATCATCAATGGTATATGTGCATTCCTGTTGATCTACATCCTTGTAAACACTTGATATTGTCAGACTTTTAAAGTCTTTCCAATTATGTGGAGTTAAAGTCATTAGATATCCTTCCTCATGTTTTATTACAGATGAGTATGTATGTGTATATGTGTGTATATATATATATATAATCTCCCTATTCTACTCCCTTTTCCTTTTTAAAAAAGAAACAAAAAATTGTTATGCTATTTCCCCCCTTAAACATATATGTTGGAGAATTTTCCATAACACTACATATGCAGGGTGCTCACACATAGAAGTTAGAAATTACATATGTGTTCTTCATCCTTGATATATTTTTTCCTTTTTTAATTGTGTAAAATAAATATATCCTAAAATTTGCCATTTTAACCATTTTTGAATATACAATTCAGTGACATTAATTATATTCACAATATTGTGCAATTATCACCACTATTCCTGAAACCTTTTCATCAGAAACTCTATACCCAAAGCAATAACTCCCATTTCCCACCCCCCCTTACTCCTATCAACCACTATTCTACTTTTTTTTTATTGAGATGTAATTGACATACATTTATTAGTTTTGGGTGTTCAACATAATGATTCAATATTTGTATATATTGTGAAATGATCAATCACCACAAAAAGTCTAGTTTATATCCATTAGCCCACATAATTTTACTGTCCTTGTGATGAGAACTTTTGAGATCTATTCTCTTAGCAATTTTTAAATATACAGTACAATATTATTAACTGTAGTCACCATGCTGTGTACATTACATTTCCGTGACTTATTTATTTTGTAACTGGAAGTTTGTACCTTTTGACCCCCTTCACCCAATGTCACCCCATCCCCCACTCCCACCTCTGGCAACCACCAATCTGTTCTCTGTATGTTTGAGTTATTTTTTTTTTTAAGATTCTACATATAAGCGAGGTCATATAGTATTTGTCTTTCTGTCTCACTTACTTCACTAGTATATTGCCCTCAAGGTTGATCCATGTTGTTGAAAATGGCAAGATTTCTGTCTTTTTTATGGCTGAATAGTATTTTATTATATATATACACAGCACATTCTCTTTATCCATTCGTCCATCAGCAGAAACTTAGGTTGCTTCTATGTCTTGGCTATTGTAAATAGTGTAGCAGTGAACATGGGGGTGCAGATATCTTTTGGAGTTAGTGTTTTTGTTTTCTTTGGATAAATACCCAGAAGTGGAATTACTAGATTGTATGGTGTTTCTATTTTTTAGTCAGATTGTTACTTTGTTATTGAGTTGTATGAGTTCTTTATATATTTTAGATATTAACCCATTGTTAGATAAATGATTTGCAAATATTTTCTCCCATTCAGCAGGTTGCCCTTTCATTTTGTTAATGGTCCTCTTTGCTGCACAGAAGTTTTTTAGTTTGACATTGTCTCACTTGTTTATTTCTTTTGGTATCAAATCCAGAAAATCGTCTCCAAGACCCATGTCACTGCCTATGTTCTCTTTTCAGAGCTTTGTCTTACATTCAGATCTTTAAGCCATTTTGAGTTAATGTTTGTGTATGATGTAAGGTAGTGGTCCAGTTTCATTCTTTTGCATGTGGCTGTCCCATTTTCTCAGTACAATTTATTGAAGAGACTGTTCTTTTCCCATGGTATATTCTTGGCTCCTTTGTGTGAATTAACTGATCAAATATGTGTGGGTTTATTTCTGGGCTCTCTTTTCTGTTGCATCACCCTGTGTGTCTGTTTTTCTGCTAATGCCATACTCTTTTGATTACTGTAGTTTTGTAATATAGTTTGAAATCAGGAAGTGTGATGCCTCCTGCATTGTTTTTCTTTCTTGAGATTGCTTTGACTGTGCAGGGTCTTTTTCTACTTTCTATGAATTTGCCTATTCTAGGTACCTCTTGCCAGTGGAATAGTGAAATATTTGTTCTTTTGTGTGTCTGACTTATTTCATATAGCAGTGTCTTCAAGGTTCATCCCTACAGTAGTGTGAAAACTTTATTTCTTTTTATGGCTTCCATATTACATAATTACATATTTATGTATATACAACATTTTGCTTATTCATTCTATTAATGGGCACTTGGGTTGTTTCTACCTCTTGGCTAATGTGAATAGTGTTGCCATGAACACGTATGTACATGTACTTGTTTGAGTACCTATTTTCTTTTTTGAGCACCTGTCTTTCTGTTCTTTTGGGTGTATACCTAAGACTGGAATTGATATGTTATATTGTTTTTCTGTATTTAACTTTTTGAGGAACCACCAGATGGTTTCCACAGTGGCTACACCATTTTACATTTCTACCATGAGTGTTCTGATTCCTTCCCATCTTTGTCAACACTTGTTAATTTTCTGTTTTTGCCTTGCTTTTTAAATTTTAATTATAGCCATCCTAGTGGATGTTGAATGGTTCCTTGTTGTGGTTTTGATTTGCATTTCTCTAATGATTAGTGATGTTGAGTATCTTTTCATGTGCTTATTAGCCATTTGTATCTCTGGTCTGGAGAAATGTGTATTCAAGTCCATTGCTCATTTTTTTAATTGGGTTGCTTGTCTTTTTGTTGTTGAATTGTAGGTCTTTATATATTCTGGGTATTAACACTTTATCAGATATATGATTTGTAGATATTTTCTTCCATTCTATAGGTTGTCTTTTCATTTTGTTGATAATGTCCTTTGATGCACAAGATTTTTTTAATTTTTATGAAGTCCACTTTATTTGTTTTTTCTTTTGTTGCTTATGCTTTTGATGTCATCTCTAACAATCCATTGTCAAATCCAAGGACATGAAGATATACTTGTATGTTTTAAAAGTTTTATGATTTTAGTTCTTATGTTTAGGTCTTTGATCCATTTTGAGTAATTTTTGTATATGGTATGAAATACGGGTTCAATTTCTTTCTTTTGCATGTAGAAATCCACTTGTCCTGGCCTTATTTGTTGAAGAGACTATTCTTTCTTCATCGAATGGACTTAGAACCTTGTGGAAAATCAGTTGGCCATAGATGTATAGGTTTATTTCTATTCTCTCAATTTTATTCATTTGGGCTCTATTTCCATCCTTATGGCAGCTCTACACTATTTTGATTGTTGTGGGGTTGTAATGAGTTTTGACATTGCAAAGTGTGAGTCCACCAACTTTTTCTTCTTTTTCAAGATTGTTTTGTTATTTAAGGTCCCTTTGATTCCATATGATTTGAGAATCTACTTTTCCATTTCTGCAAAAAAGGCTGTTGGAATTTTGATAGGGGTTGTGTTGAATCTACAGATCACTTTGGGTTTTATTAACATATCCTGACTGTATTAAGTCTTTGAATCCATGAACACTAGTTGTATTTCCATTTATTTAGATCTACTTTAATTTCTTTCAGCAATGTTTTGTAATTTTCAGTATACAAGTCTTTGACCTTCTTGGTTAAGTTTATTCCTAGGTGTTTTATTCTTTTGGATGCTATTGTAAATGGAACTGCTTTCTTAATTTCCTTTTTGGATTTTCATTGTTGGTGTATAGAAGCAAAACCAATTTTTGCATGTTCATGTTACATCCTGCCTCTCTGCTGAATTCATTTGTTAGCTTTAGTAGCTTTCTTGTGGACCCTTCGGGATTTTTTGTTTATATAGGATCGTGTTATCAGTGAGTGGAGGTAGTTGTACTTCTTTCCAAATTGGATGTCTTTTCTTTTCTTTTCTTCTCCTGTTTATCTGGCTAGATCTTCCAGTAATATGTTGCATAGCAGTGGTAAAAGCAAGCATCCTTGTGTTCCTGATTTTGAGGTCAGTGTCCTTGGCATATTTAAATATTTCCCCATGTTCTTCCAGTGACATCTTTCATGTTGATAATGAGAAGTCCTTAAAGCAGTTCCTGATAGCTATTTTTAAAAGGTTTTTGGCTGTCGGTAGTTAGAATCCTTATGTATGAGATTGGGAAAGACCATCTCTCATCTCAAATCCATTTTTAAAATATTAATACAGCAATATCAGCTTTTATTTATTTATTTTTAAAGATTTTATTTATTTATTTGTCAGAGAGAGAGACAGAGCACATGCAGGGAGAGAGGCAGGCAGAGGGAGAAGCAGGCTCCCCACTGAGCAAGGAGCCCGATGTGGGACTCCATCCCAGGACCTTGGGATCATGACCTGAGCCGAAGGCAGACACTTAACCAACTGGGCCACCCAGGCATCCCCAGCTTTTTCTTTTTGTTTAATATTTACTTTATGTCTTTTTACATGCAACTTTTCTTTGTCTTTATGTTGTCTCTTATAAACAGAATATCTTATTTAAAAATTTTTAAAAAAATATTTGTCTTTTAACTGGAGACTTTATGTTGAGTGCAATTATTAATATAGTTTTTCTACCATATTATTTTTATAATCTCCTTGTTTTCCTGTTTCTTGTTTTCTTCCCACACCACAAAGCCTCTTCTGTTTTTTTGGACTGATTTAGTTTCCTCCTTGCCCCATTTCATTTTTCTCCTCTGCTTGTCTTTAGATACATTGTTAGATAAATTAGATTCAAATCCATTGGTTATTTATGATAGTTTCTTGTAGCTTCATTATGTTTTTAAAAGCACTCATTTCTTTAAACATAAAAAATACCTACTTTTTGTGCTTTATCTGATCATTTTAATATGGGCAGTCTTGGTTCTGTGGTTTGTTATTTCTACTGATTCTTGCACTGGCTTGTTTGCTAGGGTGCTTTGTGATACTGATTGTAAATTGACATTCTTTTGAATTTTATATGAGAGAATTATTTCAGTCTTGAATTATAGTGAGTTCCTGCAGAGAGTGTGTGTATTTCCCTTGGCCACGTGTTTGAGGGCATGGTCAATCTTCCATGCCTTAATTTTTATTATTATTACTATTTTTTTATTTTTTATTAAGATTTTATTTATTTGACAGAGAGAGACACAGCGAGAGAGGGAACACAGCAGAGGAAGTGGGAGAGGGAGAAGCAGGCTTCCTGCTGAGCAGGGAGCCCGATGTGGTGGCTCGATCCCAGGATCCCGGGATCATGACCTGAGCCAAAGGCAGATGCTTAATGACTGAGCCACCCAGGTGCCCCTCTGTGCCTTTAAATTAAAATTTTTGTTGGTGTTTTTTTGGGTCACACAAGTGTTATGAACTCTGCCCCCCCCAAACCTTTGTGAGGATGGGTGTATGGTTAGAAATTCCCCAGGGAGATGATTTTCTTTTATTCCCCTTCTACCAGTACCAAGGTCTATTTAGGCAAGTTTCTCCACTGTTCCTTGGGACAGGTGTTTGTTTAGTGAGTTAATCCAGTGAGGATATTGCCCTTCAGGGGCCTAAGCTTTATATTAGGTCTTATATCCAGCCTTCCATCCAATTCCATCCAATTCTAGGTCTATATACTACCTGAAAACATACAATGTAGCCCACCAGGGATGGAAGATATTCATAGGACAAACGCTGTTACATATCTGGACTCTTTCATACTTTCTTATTGTTTTTTGGTCTTTAAGATGTTTCTTACTCCCTAGTAACTCATTCAAGCATTAAAAAAAAAAATACCTGGGGCGCATGGGTGGCTCAGTCAGCTAAGCATCTGCCTTCGGCTCAGGTCATGATCCTGGGGTCCTGGGATTGAGCCCCACGTCGGGCTCCTTGCTCAGCGGGGAGCCTGCTTCTCCCTCTTCCTCTGCCTGCTGTTCCCCCTGCTTGTGCTCTCTCTCTCTCTGTGTCAAATCAATAAATAAAATCTTTAAAAAAAATAAAAAAAAAATACCTGTTAATATTTTAACCAGCATTTTAGTGCTCTGTACTTGGAACATTTTAGTCCATTGTTTGTGAGGAACAAGCATGTATCCCATGCTTTTAATAACTGTATATCAGTCCATCTTATGGATTTATCACAAATTTAAAAAACCAGTTGTTTCAAATCTTGTTACCACAGAAAAATGCAGCATCAAGGATCCTTCTATATACGTCTTTGCATACATGTAAAAGTATATGTCAGATAAATTCCAAGAAGTAGAGTTTAACTACCCTCTTAAAGCGCTGCTTCCATGGGTTGGTGGAAAGGGAATGAGACATTTTCTTGTGTCCCTTCTCCATTTAACAGTATAAGCAAATATTCTTTGGGGCAAAAAAATAGACTGCTTGTTCTACAGCAGGACCCAGAGAATGGTCAAGCTCTTCTCCAACACCGTGCATATTCTTTTTTTTTTTTTTTTTTGAGATAGCATGCAAGCATGGGGAGGGGCAGAGAGAGAATTTTAAGTAGACTCCACGCCCAGCGCTTAAACTCATGACCCTCAAATCAAGAGTTGGATGCTTAACCGTAATTCCATCTGATCTTCCCTAACTTTTCCTAATGTAATGTGATATGTGAAAAATATTCTTACTTTTACTTTCTTATTTATTATAGACTCTCACTTTATTATAAAACTTCTTTCAACTATCTTGTCAAGGAAGGAATATCATGATCCCCAAATTAAGGGTTGTAAATTAGGAGTATTTACAATACTAGTTAGATACCGAACAGGTTTGGCAATATATTTTTGGAAGATTTTATTTAAAATATGTTGATAGGGGGTGCCTGGGTGGCTCAGTCGGGTAAGCGTCTGCCTTTGGCTCAGGTCATGATCCTGGGGTCCTGGGATCGAGTCCTGCATTGGGCTTCTTGCGCAGTGGGAAGCCTGCTTCTTCTTCTCCCTCTGCCTGCCGTTCCCTCGCTTGTGCTCACTCTTTCACTATCTCTCACTCTTTGTCAAATAAATAAATAAAATCTTAAAAAAAAATATGCTGGGACACCTGGGTGGCTCAGTTCGTTAAACAGCTGCCTTCGGCTCAGGTCATGATCCCAGAGTCCTGGGATCGAGTCCCGCATCGGGCTCCCTGCTCTGCGGGAAGCCTGCTTCTCCCTCTCCCTCTGCTGCTCCCCCTGCTTGTGCACTCTCTCTCTCTCTCTCTCTGACAAATAAATAAATAAAATCTTTAAAAAAAATATGTTGATGGGGCGCCTGGGTGGCTCAGTCAGTTGAGCGTATGGCTCTTCATTTCAGCTGAGGTCATGATCTCAGGGTTGGGGGATTGAGCCCCACACTGGGCTCTGTGCTCAGCATGGAACCTGCTTGAGATTCTCTCCCCTCTCTCTGCACCTCCCCACTGCATGCTCTCTCTCTCTCTAAAATAAATAAATAAATCTTTAAAAATATATATATATATATAGGTATAGGAAATAAGTTACCTTTTAACTAATGTAGTTGATTAGAACCAAGATTATAATAGTATTATTGAATTAAAAAAATATAGCCTTAAAAGAATTAAGTATTCCACATTCAGTGGCAAAGATATGTTGAATAAGCAAACTATTTTTAAATGTCAGCATTGTAAATATCTATTCATTGATTTAAAATATATTGATTACTGTCTGTACAGAAAACATATTTATGAGTGCATTGTGGTAATAACTGTTTTTTCCTTTTTTAGCCTATATATGCAAACAGAATTCCGGTACCAACTTACGCAGCCAAGCAGCCTCAGCAGTTCCCATCAAGGTCTGAAGTGAATTCACTTAGATTACTTAACCAGAATAAAACCCAGGGTTAATGTCTAAGAACTGCTCCCTTGTATTTAATTTAGCACAGGGTATTTCTTGCCAACAGTTTAGATAGAACACAATTTTTAGAAAAGCTTTTAAGAACTTTTTATGTAACTTTTGTCATATTAGTGCAGTGTCAACATGCAATTTTAAAGAAGTCTGGGGCCCCTGGGTGGCTCAGTTGTTAAGCATCTCCCTTCGGCTCAGGTCGTGATCCTGGGATCCTGGGATTGAGCCCCGCCTCAGGCTCCCTGCTCGGCGGGAGGCCTGCTTTTCCCTCTCGCACTCCCCCTGCTTGTGTTCCCTCTCTCGCTGTGGCTCTCTGTCAAATAAATAAATAAAATCTTTAAAAAAATTTTTTTTAAGTCTGAGCAAGACAAGCAAATGGTGCTGCAGCTTTCGGTGTAGTAAGATTCAGAAGCAAGGGCCTTTAAAATACCCAGCAATGGCAAACCAGATGGGTAAGACCAGCCTTCCTATTAGGAACAGCTAGAGAAGCTAGACAAGGTAAGGAAATACGTGTTTGAAGGCCTGAGTGAACTATCAAGGAAATGAGGAGGAAGTGTGGGGCCCAGGAGAGAAAGGCAGTCCAGACATAATCCCAGCTTTTGGGGTTCACTTTTCTGTCCTGGACATGTCTCCCAATTCTCAGTGTGAGAACTAAGAGGCTAGGAAGCTGAGGAGAGCTTGCAACAAATTCACAGGGCTGAGGGGACAACTGGAGCCCAGCCAAGCAGGAGGTACCCTGGCAGTCCTCCCAGGCGCTGTGTTGGGCCCTAGCAATAAGGATAAACTAGATCCTTAACTTATTTCTACAATTTTTTATGTTTGGCCCCAGTCAAAAGAGCAGACCTACAAGAAAAGAAAATGTGACTAAAACAAGAAAAGCCACAGATGATAGAAACAAACTCAGAGGGTATTACCCAGTGAGGAGCATCATCAGCCACAGACTTTAAAATGACTAATGATTATGTCATTGAACTAATAGTTAAGATTGAGACTTTTCAGCATAGAACTACAAACTTTAATAAAAGAATCATATGGAAGTTCTAAAACTGAAAAACACAAGCACTGAAATCTTTCAGTTCTCAATGGATGGACTTAAAATCAGCAAGGAAGAACACTGATTACGATATTTTGAAATATATAAAGTGCATCTTACGCCTCCCACCCCCAAAAGTCCTTCAGATTGCAACTGAATTGCAACACTAAGGAGTGTCCTCCTCTATAATGTTTATTATATAATAAAAGTGCGTGGAAATCCAGCTGCACATCAAGAGAGGAATATATGAACTGTGAGACAGATATTCACCAGGTCATGTTCTGCTGTGTTATTGGAGTAGAGGAATACTAGAATCGGATGAAGAGGGTGAGGAAGGGTATAGAGGTGAAGGACAGGTATAGAAAAGTCATAGCAGGTTTGATTCTCAGAGTGGGTGTTAGTTTTGAATGAGTTGGAATTTCAGCTTTATTTATGTAAACGGAGCTAGTGACCTCACTTGTCTTTTACAATTTGTCTTTTCAATTTCATGTGTTATTCCTTTTAAAAATATATAAACCAGAACCTTCATATATTATTTTTGATTATAGAATAGCATTACTTTTTGGTAGTTACTCCATTTTAGATGCTGATTGCATCCTTTAACCATTGCATATAAGATGAATAATAATCTCAGCATATAATGTACTCTTAAGAATTGTTAGCAGTGTTAAAGGTGGTGTTACATTGGGCTTTTAATGACGTAGTATTATTTTATTCAGTTGAAACACATGGTTAACTGTCTTTTTTCCCCTCACAGGCCACCTCCACCACAACCGAAAGTATCATCTCAGGGAAATTTAATTCCTGCTCGTCCTGCACCTGCACCTCCTTTATATAGTTCCCTCACTTGATTTTTTTTTTTTTTTTTTTTACCTTTACTTTTGCAGACATCTTCAGGGAACTGAGCTAATCCTTTTTTTTTTCCTCATGTTTTCTTGAAAAGCCTTTCTTCCTGCTGCAACTATGAATGAAAACAAAATACCATAAAACAAACTTTGCTAACACAGAAAAACAGAAATTGAGTAGTGGGAATTGAGAAATATAAGAAATGCAGTAAAGCCAGGGCATTTAGAATAACATTTCCATTTCCATCACTGAATAAGTCTTATTCAGTCATTCTGTGAGGTTAATGCACCAAACATGGATTGTGTTATTTTAAACATGGTATTGTAATGATTCTTAAATTAAGTTTTGTCATTAAGTGCTTAAGTGACAAATTTTGACCTTAGTTGCCATTAATGTAGTTTCTGGTTGAACATGTGATTATCTGATACCTGTGAAAACTAATTAGCTGTCTGTAATATCTAATGTTTTTCATCTTGCACGGACTAATAATCATCATATGCTACAATCTTGTCTCTCTCATTCACTACACAAATAAAGGAATATTCTGTCTTCAGAAGAATGCGCAAAATCCACAACTTAGATATCATCATCTTATTTTGAGAGTACAAAGTATACTAAAAGTGTGTATGTGTGTATTCACACACAGTTATTGTCTTCCGTTTTTATGATCATTCTGTGGATAAATGATTCCATGGATTCTAGGGATAGTAGAGTCTATGGGTCTATCTATAGATAATGAATATTAGAAAAATTAATTTAATAATAGAATTTCTATTATGAATCATGTTAAAGCATGGCATTCTTTTACAATAGCATTATTTTAAATAAGTTAAACTTTAAGGTACGGAGTATTTAATAGAACTAATCAGATATGCTGTTGATACCTGGCTCTAACAAAGCAGGAGCTCTTATAATATCTTCAATCAAATTGAGATATCATAAAACCACTTGAGAATTTCATGAGCACTTTAAGTTTAAAATCTGAAACTTCAAAGCTTGCTATTAATATAATTTAGAATGTTTACATTTACTAAGGTGTGCTGGATCATGTCTCTGTTGTAACTAATGTTTTCAAAGAAATTAGGCTGGAGAAAAGAAGTTAGAAAAGGTTTTTCTTAGTAAAAGCGAAAAAACTAGTGAGGTGTGTAGGAGCTATTATTCCATCTGTGGAAAAAATGAATTTTTACTTCGGAAAAAATGATATGGATGGTGAAATTTTAAACACTCAAAAAATTTTCATAACCTTTCATAATAAAATTTAATAATAGGTTTATTAACTGAATTTCATTAGTTTTTCAAAAAATTTTTGTTTGTGTATATATACATATACAAATATAACATTTGCAATAAATAAAAGACTTGAAATTCTGTTTTGTGTCGCCCAGTAACTTCCTAAATATCCAGCTTTTTATAACCTTATTAATTAAAACACTAGTTTTAGATAAAACCACTAGTCAAACTTTTACAGATATTATCTTACTAATTTTCAGACTTCTGCCGAATTGTGCACAGTGGCTTTTTTGTTATTAAAGGAAAACAGATTAGTTTTGAAGAAGACAGATATTTCAGTTCTTTGAAGATATATTATTTTGACAATCTGGTATATATACACATATATATATGTAATATATATGTGTATATATATTACATATATATATGTAATAAAAATTACATATAGGATGTGGGTGGACAAATACTCAGGGGCCAGGCAGTCCATAAAAAGGACAGTAGGATATAGAAATATAGGGAAAATTTGTACTTCAGTGTATGCATTGTCTGGAGTTTATAGACTCTAGACGAGAACTCACCTTTCCTGGCTATAGGATTCTATAGGAGCTATTTTACAATAGTAAAATAATTTTATCACTGTAGATAACTGATAGCAATGTGTCCATAGACATGAAAATTCTGCCCAGCAGAGGTTCAGCTGACATCCCTCCCTTTTTTGCCTCCAATGGCACATTTATTTCAATATTCCTGATCTTTGGATTCTCCTTTGAACTGGCTGTAATACCTCATCACTTTACTCATTAATGAAGTAAACACAGTCTTTAATGTGTGTTCCTTTTAAAAAAAAGTGTAAACAATCCCAAATGATGATTCTTCATTTCAGTTTAAATCTCTGAATGAATTTATATAAGACTAAAATGTTTGTGTCTTTCTCTCATATAGTCTCAATTTTTGCAACTGTAATTTGTATCACTGAAATCTTGGTAATATTTTAACTATATAACCTAAAACTTTCTCAGAATTTGATAAATCCTTGGATTTTTGAATATTTAGAAAGTTTTTCTAAAAGACTTTGATCAGTCTGAACTTACCTTTGTTTATATTTTTTTTGCATGTTTTATATGCTTTTCACTTAGGTTTTCCTTGATTTATTCTGGATTGCTGTTAAAAATTGTAAAATTTCTTGGCCATAGATGTCACTTCAAAATTTGCAAATATTAAAGGGCTTCTTTGCCATCTGCTAAAGACATTTTAATAATTAGATATATGTAACTTTGATATCACTGACTATATGTTCACAAAATTATCTTGCTCAGGATATTGCATTTTCCCTTTCTCTCAAGCAGATGCCTGCGTCTCTAACCATATAGTTAAGCACAGTCCAGGTTTTCAAACCACAAATCAGATTTTATTAAATTCCATAAATGTTTACTGAAACTCTACCATCTTGCAGGTATCATTAGGCAGTGTGATATATAAGTTCTGGATGGTACATCTAACTCCTGTTATGGAGAGAACTAAATACACAAGAGTAATATAAAGTCTGCTTAAAGGTTGAAGAAGAAACAATAAATAAACCAGGATTTCATTCAAAATACTTCCCACTAATTTACAAGTCTAAGTACTTACTGTAGTTGTTTTCCTAATACTATGAAGCAAGATGAAACCAGCTTTTGGCTCTACTACTGCTTAGAAACTGTTCGTCTAGCATTGGCTGTTCTATTGGGATACAAGCTGGGTGTAGATTTTTGTTGCCTTGTTCTTGCTCATGCTAATCCTTTTTAGGCTTAGATGGTCCTGTTGAAATCCTTTGCATCAGTAAAATCGCATCTCAACTGTCAGTTTAGATGTGGTGATTCCCTAAGTGAGCTTTTCTGTGTTCCCACCCAGCCTTTCAGTTTGTGTGTCTGCCTTTCTGTTAATTAGTATGATCGATTAATTCATTCTTTGGGATTTCAAAAGATTTAAAAGGTAGTGCATATAGGTGGAGACTGGAGGTGAGGCCGAGAGGGAGGAGGCATTGCAGTCCCAGGGAATAAGGCAATGTCTATTCAGAAAGACCAGAAGTCAGAGTGGCCAAAGGATTTCGGATAGGAGAAAATGGGTGGCAGCTTGGGCTTGGAATTTAGAAAATTTTTCTGCTGGAACATACGTACTGGAATTCTGGGTAAGAATCTTCATCTCATTCACTACATAAATGAATAAGTATTCACTGTACTGAGAAGGTATTGAACAAGAGAATGATATCACATGAATTCTAGCCAAGGGCTTGTGAAGACCCAGACTGACTGGAGGAAAAGTAGACACAACCGGATTACTCAGTGCATTTGAGCAGTAGGTATGGGGGGGTGGGGACAAAACCCACGGCCGACTCGTTTCAAAGATATCATCTCACTTTTCCCCTTTTTGGAGTCTTTTTCACACATCTGGCTACTTATTTTTATTTTTAGAAGCCCAGCTTTAGTAAATAATGAGTGTGTGCGTGCATATAGTTTTAAATTCATAAAGTATTGCACGACCGTCTTTTAAAACATCTGGAAGTATGTGCTACAAAACAGCCTACAATAAATGCGTTAGTTCTTTCAGGTCCGTTAACACGAAAGGTTGGTGGGGGACCGCAACTGCCACGGCACAGGTGGCTAGATAACCCCACCTGAGCCGCAGGCTCTCGCTCGGGCACGCGGGATTTAGGCTGGGGGCAAGGTGGGCGCATCCTGCCGGCGATTAGCGTTCGGGGCGCAGGGGCCTCGCGAGACCGCCGCCCCACGCGCGCGCGCGGGTGAGCGGCGGCCGAGGCGTCCTTCGAGCGCTCTCAACGGCCGCCGGCTCAGTCCACTCTCGGAGCCCAGAAGCCACACCATGCTCCGCCTAATGCTGCTGCTCGCTGGGCTCGGTGGCTTGCGGGCGTCAGGACCCGGTAAGGCGGCGGGGACCCTGTTACACGGGGTCTGGGCAGACGAAGGTTTTTCTTTTCCTTCTTTCAAGGAGAACCTACTTCCGTCAAATGGTGGCCCAACTCGATTGAAATCCCCGCGGTAGCCTGGAAACCCGGCCTTTTGGGGGCGCTCTGTAGGGATAGAGAAGTGACTCCCTAGAGGGGAAAATAACTCTAATGAGCTCAAGGACAAATCTCTCTTTTTGAATCTAGGGTGGGGGTAGCCTTTCTTGTAGGTCCTTCACGCACTTCACAAAACTGCCCCAACGTTTCTTGCACTCAGAAGCACCCCAGAATCTTCTTGAACTCCACTCAAAACCCAAACAAAAAGGAAAACAAAAGCCGTACTCTCCTCGCATACCATTTGTTCCAACATAACTTGTCTGGCATACCTATGGGAATAATTTGCTCTGCAGTCAAAAAAAAAAAAAAAAAAGATTCAGTGTCTGTTACGCTGAGTGACAAAGGTACCTTATGGCAGGATACAAAGAACAGTATAAAGAAGCCTCAAAAATTTAAAATATATTAGGGCTGGTTTAGATGCAAGCAAAAATTTAGGTATGTTCTTATTTTTCTTTCCTTTTTATACACTGTTCTGAATCTTGCCATCCTGTGTCAGTGTCAGTACATGGAGTGTCTTTTCTCCCCATCTGCACAGTGCTCCCTTGTTTGGAGGTGCCACAGTTTATTTAGCCAGTTCTTTTATTAATGGACTTTTGGATTGTTACCAGTCTTTTTGCTGTTACATGCTACATTAGTGACCTTGAGCTGCCATAACAAAATGCCCTAGATGGGGTGGCTTAAACAACAGAAATTTATTTTTTCACAGTTCTGAAGATAGGAAGTCTGAGCCCAGGATGCCATCGTGTTGGGGATCTGGTGAGGTCTTTCTTCCTGGCTAATAGACCATTGCTT